GAAATTAGGCGTTAAGTAAGTGAATGCCAAATGACAAGATAAACAAAGGTGGGAAAAGATGACCCAGAGGATTTGACAAAATAAAAACCATTTCCAATACACACAAAGTAAGACATTGGCAAGAGACCACAGTCCAAGAAGAGAAGGCAAGGATCATTTACCATCAGAGAGGTAAACACTGCCGAAAGTTAAACAAATCCTTGTGTCTATGTCTACAAAGAAATATGGAAGATGCCAGATGGCTGTTTTGGAGACAGTCAATGAAAAAATATTACTGAATAAAAGTGACTCCTGAGTTTATGTTTTTAAGTTGACAAATACCAAGAGCAATATTTTCCTACTGTATCAACTTTAAATAAGGACATTCGTAGAGTGACCATTTTGTATTATTAGAGGTCAGATGAGGATGTTGTAGAGTCCCTTCGCGTTTGTTAAATGTAAAAACATTTATTGGATTAAAGAATATCATCTTTTCTTTAATAGGACATTAGAGAATTAGAATTTTTTCTTTTTTTAATGAAGAGTGGGGAAAGCACATAGAAGAAACCAAACATATATATATGAAACCTATTTAGAAGGACTTCCAGTAAGCCCTAGAGTAAGCACAAATTCATCACATTCTCTACCCTTAATTCATGATGGTTTTAAGGAAAACTTGTAAGACTCTGAGACTGTATTCAATCTTGGACAGTGGGTTGTCCAGGAAATTCAGTGAAAGGATTGAAAAACAAGATGACTAACTCATAATTGATCTCAACATCTAACCTCAGGGAATCAAACTGGGATTCTAGCAAACTAACCCCATGACAACTGAAGTGACGGTTTAACAGCCTCTGAGAACACGGAGGATATAAGTACTCAGGTTAAAAAAAGAAAAAAAAAGGTCTGGGATAGATCAAACAATTCCCAAACTCTTCCAAGTTGAGACTATGGCTCTTGAAAACCATTCCTGCATCCATGGACTATATTCCTAAAATGACCATTGAGGTTTCTGCAGTCATGCTGGGTTCTGCTAGTAGCAATGAGCCAAATGGAATCCATTTATGTAAAAAGTCTCAAGGCAATGGGAATTAGGCCACAGCAGTATGCTCCAGTGAACTTAATTTCCCAGCAACTCTGGCTCCCATTCCCCCAGACTACCCTGGCCTTGAGTAATTTGGAGATCAACCCCTGTTCCAATCCATCTAAAAGAGGTTTGGAGTCTAATATGGGAATTGCTGTCCACTGCACATGTTCTAACTTCCACACTACAGCACTCCTAGGCTATAAGGATTCAACAACCATGCATCCTTCTCCACCTTCGTCAACAGCAATAGGACCATATCTCCATTCTTCCCTTCACCCCATTTTTACTACCCAAAGTCACCACTCTATAACCTAAGTGAGGAAGGGATTCTGTTGAGATGGCCTGAAGTACTCTCCAAGGTATCACGACTAATATTAATAAGCTCAGAGACAGACTCTGCATCCTGTTTATCTTTGTAATATTGGAAATGCTTGACACATCATAGCTACTTGGTAAATGCTTGTTAAATGAAAAATAGAAAACGAAGTACATAACTGTCACCAAAAAAAGATGCCCACAGGCTGGGATTGTGATTCAGTGGTAGAGTGCTCATCTAGCACATGTGAGGCCCTGGGTTGGTCCTCAGCACCACATAAAAATAAATAAAATATAGGTATTGTTTCCAACTACTTTCAAAAAATTTAAAAAAAAATTTTTTAAAAGATGCCCAGTGAGAAGGAAAAAAACATAAAAGGACAAATGGTATATTACATAATTTGAGAAATGTTTACTTTACAATTAAAATAAGCATTTTATTTTTCCCCTAAACATAACATTCTGGTATCCATATACCAGAATCAATGCCAACATGGTTTGAAAGAGAAGTTGACAAAAGCTTTCTAAAGGCTGTTACAAAACCATAGCAGTACAATGTAGTAGCATTTTAGAAGATACAAACATTTAAATATGTAGATGCTATGAGAAACATCAAGCTCCATTAATTAATATTAGATAACCATATCTCAACTTCCAAGCTTCCAAAAATAGAAAGTTTTTTTAAGTTTACATTCATATTAAAAGAATAAGGGGATACAACAATCCTACTTCTGGGTACTTACCCAAAATATTTGAAATCAGTATGTTGAGGAGGGATCTGCCCACACATGTTCACTATAGCATTATATGCTATAGCCACATTATGGAATCAATCTAAAAGTCCATGAATGAATGAATGGACATAGAAAAATGTGGTAAATATACACAATGGAATACTTAACAAAAAAATTCCTTAAAAAAGGAAGAGATCCTATCATTTGCAAACATGAATGGAATCAGTGCACATATGCTTTATAAGATAAAGCAACATAGAAAGACAAATACTACATGTTCTTACTTGTCTTTGTAATCCAAAACAACTGAACTCATAAGAGCAGACTGGTGGTTACCAGAAGCTGAGGAATAGAGAATAGGAAAACCAAAGCCATAGGCACAAAAGTCTCAGTCAGGGATTTTGTTGTTGTTGTTGTTTTAATAGGTATTACTCAGTGTGGTGAATCCAGCTAATAGCTGAATATTATATAATTCAATCACCGGAAGGGTGGATCTCAAATGTTCTCCTGTTAAATGTTTAAGGTGACACATTTATTGGCTTGATTTGGTCATTTTGCATTGTATTTCACCCTTGTGCCCTATAAATATGAACATTTATAATCTGAGCATATATAAATTTGAAAATGAATTTTAAAAACAGGGCATTTCAAGTAGGCTAAAGCAGGTGTATTCTCTTAGATAGTTTCATTTAAGATTAAGACAATGCTAGGGGCTGGGGATGTGGCTCAAGTGATAGTGCGCTCGCCTGGCATACGTGGGGGGCTGGGTTCGATCCTCGGCACCACATGAAAAAATAAAGATGTTGTATCCACTGAAAACTTTAAAAAAAATGCTATTTTCTAACATTTTGTAAAGTAGTATAATGATTATAGGGTTAATATTGAATGTGTTTTATATTCTTAGTTCTTAACACTCAATCTCCCATTTAGTTGTTCTTGCCTTTTTCTCTTAGATAAGTGAAAGACTTATTAGACCTAGTACTTGGTTCATGAGATTTTCTCATTTCACCTTGAAAAAAAACAACTGCAAATATGTATAGAAGATGAACCACATGTATTTTTCCCTGAAAGATGTCAGAATATAACACTCAAATCAAATGCTGAACAAAAGCTATTTTGTAAGAATACATACAATATGTGGCAATTTAATTTTCACTGATGTTTTTCTTGGCAGTTTTTCCCACATTCGTAATTTCTAATCAAAAATTACTGAAATCATCCATTAAGCGTGTACTCAGACATTACTGAGTTATAGGAATCTAGACAATCTTAAGGTATCATAAAAAGAATCACAACTTTAAGAAAACATTAATTGAATCAGTTGTAAAAATTACTCTCACACCATGAGAAAAATAGTAATTAAGGTTACATTTGAACCGATTTTCATTCTATTTTTATCTCTGAGTGCTTTAAATCTAAAATAAAATTCTGAATCCAGGAAATTAGAATGGAGGGAAATGAACCAATCGGAGCACATAGTCCACAAGGGCAAGAACTATTTCTGGTTTTGTTTATCAATACATTCCCTCTGCCTAACAGTCAAATATGTGTTGACTCAGATAAGAAATAATTATAGGTAGGAGTGCAAATCAGGAGAGCCTTTCTTTTTTCCTTTTTTTTTTTTTTTTGGGGGGGGGGGGTTTGGTTTGATTTTGTTTTGTTTACTGCACTGCTAGGGGGTGAGGCCAGAACCTCCCTCACGCTAGGCAAAGGCTTCACCACTGAGCTACCCTCAGCCCCAACAGACTTTTTCTTGAAGGCAATTTAAAATTTTATATTCTTGGACCAGTAAATCTGCTTCTATAAATTTATACTAGGAAAATAATTATGTAAGTGAGCAAGTACTTAGAATCTAGAACATTCATGACCCAAGCTTTAAAAAAAAAAAAAAAGCAAGACCCAACAAATAACCCCATAACCTGGATTGCCTAGCGTGTGCCTCTTGTCATGAATATATAATGAATACCTGCTATGCACCAACTACTGTCCTACTTGCTGTATCCCAACCTTCAGTGAACTTAATGCTCAGAACCATCCCATAAAGTAATATTTTCATCTCATGTGGATAAGCAACAGAGAAGTTAAACAATTCAATCTAGCTTCATGATCCTATAGCCTTAGTGTTATCTTTAAAACAATGTTGAAAATCAGGATTTCTTAACTTTCCTTACTCTTTATCCATTCCTTTTTTGATAATCTGCCTCAAGAACTGCCATCTGACAGTCTTATAAACGGCACCCCCACCAGCTAGTATATCTACCTAATTTTGTTACAAAAACATGGGATCTTTAATAATCTTTCAAATATAATATTATATCTTTTTCAATGTACTACTGTCCTACCAATTTCTCCTTCCCCATTCACAACACTTGCTGTTAGCAGAACTGTATTTTGTGTTATGAAAAGATATGAAATCCTAAATATAATAATGTATACAAAATGAATCTCATTTTCTTATAAAACATGGTCCTCTGGTGAAACAATTTTCAAAAAATATTCCTGTGCATATTCTATGAGTATGGAAATGGTTTCTTGAAGAATAAAAAGATAGACTAATGGGAGAAATGAGACAAGTGATCCCATCCCGGAGACAAAGAGTGTCAGGGCAAGTGTATGAAACCTGGGATTCAGGGAAGCATCTGGAAACCAGGAAGTATAAAAATTCACTGCAGGTGACAGGGTCTCCAGATGGGAGATGGAATAGGCAGCCCCGGACCATGTGGCCAAAATGTAGCACTTGAGAGGAGCAAAGTAGTAGAGCTTGCAGGTCTGAACCTGCTGGAGGACTTGTTTTATCTATGGAAATAGACAACTATAAACAAAGTAAAAACAGGATAGATAAAATATGTGTGAAACCAAATGAACAAGCAGTTGATTCTTTTTTTTTTTTTTTAAATTTATTATTAGTTAGAAATACATTATAGCCAAAGACAGCAAGGAATCCTCTGTGCTTTTCAATATGCAAATACAAATTCTTCCAATAGTTGCCCTAGAGTAATCTCAAGTGTCCACGATACTCCTTTTCTGAAAACTTCATTTTTTTAGTTGTTGTATTCTTGAAGAGCCTGGGCCATGAAGAGTTTCCCTAAGTTTTGGGCGGTGAACTCCTTGATGTTCTGGCAGTAAGTATTAATCTGGCCTAAAAATTTGAGAAAGAGTCTTAATGTTCTCCAAGTTGTAAAATGATCTAGAATGCTAGTCAAACAAGAAAATCAGCACAATACAGAATTCACCAGAACTGTTTTTAACCAAGAATTTACAAGAATCAATTCTATTTTTCCATAAAGTTTAATAAAGAACATAATTTCTTTTGAAAAGTTGTTATCTTCAACTCGTGATTAAAATGAAGGAAAACTAACTTTTTTTAAAAGATTATCAGCTGTAAGGATATATTAGCTATCAATCTGCTGAATCAGTACCAGATCTGATCAACAGACAGTACTCTAAGAAATCAGAGAAAATATTACTGCCTTAGCAGGCAGATAGGAGATATATGATCATAGCATGGCAGAGTAGCCACATCCACCTGGTTCAGACATTGAACAGGTACAGCAGTGTACAACCTGCACTTTAGACATGTTTTAAGGTCCTTCCCCTGAGCCAAAAGCAGAAACTCCTCCCTGAAGAATGGCTCTATTACTGTTTCTGCATCTAATCGGATGCAAAAGCTATTCATTTCTTGAAAGTATAAGCACTACAGGTTTGTCTCAATTAGGCCTCAAAGAACTATATCTCAGTTTCCCAAATGTGTGTGTGTACTAGAAAGTTAAGGAATTTGGATTTTTCAACCACTCAAATATCATTATTGATAGAACTGAAAAACTAAGAACAGCTTTACTTTGAGTAGATTTTTCACTCTATTAAAGTTTCTCACAGACAAAAAGACAATTGACTTAAACAGTATCTAACAATATTTTATAAAAATAAGATTATACAGCCATATAAGAGTGTGAATATTACACATTAAAACCAGCCTATGGTTGGGCATGGTGGTACATGCCTATAATACCAGCAGCTAGTGAGGCTGAGGCAGGAGAAGAAAAAGTTTAAGCCAGCCTCAGCAACTTAGCAGGGTTCTAAGCAACTTAACAAGATCCTGTCTCAAAATAAAAAATAACAACAGTTGAGGTGGGGATGCAGCTCAATTGTTAAGCACCTCTGTGTTCAATCCATGGTACCCGCCCCATTGACAAAACAAAACAAAAAATAAATCCCAGCCTCTAGCATAGGACATAGACCTTAACCAAAGTGATAGACATATGCTAAGTCTCCTCAGAAGTTCACCCAGAATTATATTCATGTTGCCATGATTTCAAAGGGCAATATTTTCTTCAAATTAAAAACTTCCATTCAAGTACCCCAATCTAAAGTAGAAAATAAAAAGGCACTTGAAGCTACGTGAACCTCTGCATTATTGAGACCATAAAAATTTTTTTCTTCATTTTCATGAAAGATGGAAAAGCTTCCCAATTTAGAAAGCTTGAAAATGTTTAGATATACACCAAGCGAAGAACTGAAAGGACCTGAGAAATAAAATACTTACCAATTCTTAAATTTCAGAAACTATACCTACTAGACTCAAATTCATCTAACTATTTAAAATACATTAGCTTTCATGTGCTATGTTTCTGTCTGTAAAATTTCTCATAGTCTTTTGCTTCCTCAAGAACAGAGAAAACTACATATCACGCTTTACATAACTATACCTGCAATGAGTAGTGAATCCATCCTGGCAGGAGCCTGAAGTGGCTTAAAGAGTTTGGACAGGTCTTCCTCAGGGAGTGGGGGTTCTCCTCGACTCTGACGTTGCATATTCTCCTGCTGACGACGCTGCTGATACTAAAATTTAAAGAAAAATAATTTGATTATTTTTCTCTGAGGGGGGTAAAAAAAAAGAACTCTCTCACAGGACCAACAATACCCCATTGCTCTGAATTCTATTCTAAGTTTAATAAATGGCAATATTTAAGAAGCTAAATATGGTAATGGTAGAAGAAAATATATATATATTTATATATTTTTGTTTTAAAATAAACTCCAGTGTCACTGTGAGCTCTAACAGTCTATATGATTTAGAAAACAAAATTGGTTCTGGAAGTAACAAAACTAAAAAGAGGCTCATGATCAGTGATTAAAAGAATACAGCATTCTGGACAAAGGGGAGAAATGGTTCATCCTAACTTTATCAACTAAATAATATACTATGTGCAATTTTATCCCTATTGACATAAAATAATAATAACACCAATGATGTTATTACCATCAAGTTCACTGTCTTTTTTTTTTTTTCTTGGTACCAGGGATTGAACTCAGGGCACTCGACCAGTGAGCTACATCCCCAGCCTTTTTAAAAATTTTTGTATTTTATTTAGAGACAAGATCTCACTGAGTTTCTAAGTGCTTCACTGTTGCTGAGGCTGACTTTGAACTCACAATCCTCCTGCCTCAGCCTCCTGAGCCGCTGGAATTACAGGCGTCCACCACCAAGCCTGGCAAGTTCACTGTTTTTACTATTCTTAACAGATGGTCTTGCGTGTTTCAGCTCTGTAGCTAAGAATGAATATTAACTTCAAATACTTTCAAACTCTGCATTCTACAATTCTCTGAAAAGAAGGTGAGGATACATATATAGATTCTATAACTATAAACTTATATGTCAAATAATTAAGAGCTAGTTGCTGTGAATGGCTCACAATGCCAGTGAAATAATCTTCCACACACTGTCTTTTAAAAGGTCAGGTAATAAGAAACCAAGGTGGGTTAAGAAAAACTTAAAAGTCTTGAATTCCTATGAAAACCAAAGGCAATGACAGTTTCTCCCGAAGAAGAGGAGTAACTTGCTTTGAAGATTTCTTTCTTATTATGGGGTATGAAAGTGAAGGTGAGATACATCTAAAAAGGGTTATGAAGGATACTAGTTAAGTATGAATAAATGTTAAATGCAAAAATCTTAATACATTATAACTCTGAAAAGAGTCCCAAAGATTGGCTTCTAGTATGAATTACCTCATGGGTGACAGATTATCAATTTGATAGCCCAAGTGATTCCCACCCCCAACAACAAAACAGCAAGAGAATACAATCAAACTGGGACATTCCTTTCTCATAGTTTAGAAATCTGCAGCTATGTTCACTTAAAGATACTTTACAGATTTACATATATTTTCTCAATTCAAGTGTAGCAAAATTCATTCATTCACTTATCCATTCATTTTTATTTCCCGACATATATGAACCTGGAAGAAAAATTTGTTTTTCTTTGATTACATAAGTCTCCGAAGCACTTAGCTGTGCTTCGAATTTTACAATTGACAACACTTTGTTTAAAGTGCATTTTAATGAACACAGCAAATATAAATACTACTTCCAGGGATAAAGATTCTGAAATCAACTTATCCATCAATCAAATGCTAAGAACATTTTAGAGCAATACAGTCCCAAAATAATATTCCCGGAACTATGAAAATCATGTGGTCCTAAGGCAATGCTAATAAAGAAAAGGTTAAATGGCCAAAACTATATGTATGTGCATATGAGAATATTCAAGTAATTCTATGATTTTTGTTGGTATTATACTATCTATTTCACAGCAGGTGGTCTATTATTTCCTATCAAAATTGCTTGCTCTTAATCACAACTGCTCGGTTTTTTAAATGAACTGAAGATTGCTAACTATTCTGCAATGAACCACCACCAAACCAATTATAGTTAGAGTAAAGAAATGAACTGTGACACTCTGAAATCTCTTTGCCTCCAGTTTTCTCCATAAATATATATCTTATTTGCATAACCTTGAGCTTAATATATAAGCTCTCTTTAAATCTGGTGTTTTTAATTATAATTTGTAAAATATTATTTACTAAAGAACAATCTTTTAAAATATATGTTACAGAGTTGTTAACTAACAGTCAATTTTTTTTAAATATTTTTTAATTGTAGGTGGACACAATTCCTTTATTTTATTTTTATGTGGTACTGAGGATTGAACTCAGTGCCTTACGTGTGCCAGGCGAGTGCTTTACCACTGAGCCACAACCCCAGCCCCAACAGTCAATGTTTTACTAGAGATAATTTAGATCATTTTTAAGATGACTTTCTTTCTGATACTGAGGTTGCACCCAAGGTTACTATACCACTGAGCTACATCCCCAATCCTTTTTTTTTTTTTTTTGAGAGAGTCTCAGTAAATTGCTAGGGTTGGCCTTAAACTTGTAATCCTCCTGCCACAGTCTTCTGAATCTCTGGGATTACAGGTGTGCATCACCACATCCAGCCTTTAAAATGACTATTAAAACATCACACCTAGAAGTCAATGTATATTGATTTTTTTCTATAATACCAACCTGATGTTTCTGCTGCTGTTGCTTACTAGTATTCCTCATGTATGTGTTATATTTTACTATGTCTTGGCTCATTTCATCCACTCTGTCCATCAGCAACTGTAGATTCTTCCCCAAATGATTGCTGAAATGAAAAGTAAACACACTGATATGTCATACTTTAAGCTATGACTTTGCCACTGTTCTAAATAGTCATGTTAAAACATGATCTGCCTTTTGCTAAAAGAATTAGAAGCACACATATGCATTAAAGCAAGGGTAGAGGTAAGAATCTGAGTCAGCTTATTATTAAACTTATGTTTTCACCCACAACTATAATCTCAGGGCTGTTGGAAATAGCTCAGTTTCTTATTGTTGACAGCAAAAGTAAGTTAAATAGGAACTGTTAAGCATATCTAGGGTGGCATCTATAATATATACTTTCAGAAAACCAAGTTTAACTTGAGTTCAGTACTACTGAACCCTTTTCCTTAACATCCCCACCCCCACCCCCATGTGCCCCAGAGTTTTAAATCAGTAGTCAAGCAAAGAGCCATGCAAACTTATTAAGATTTCTGGCACACCATTTCTTTATCTACCTTATTCTAAATGAGCCACATCATCTGCCTCCTCATCTCTGTTCTTTCCTAGAATCTGTAGTAGTATATAGTCTTTCATACTTTTTATCTCTAGAAATATTGATTCCAGCTCAGTTACTACAATCTTTTCATAAAGTAATGCTAATAATTGATACAATGGCCACCTTATTCACCACCTTCTACCTGCCAATATCTCCTATCATGGGCTGGGGATGTGGCTCAAGCGGTAGCGCACTCGCCTGGCATGCGTGCGGCCCAGGTTCAATCCTCAGCACCACATACAAACAAAGATGTTATGTCTGCCGAAAACTAGAAAATAAATATTAAAATTCTCTCTCTCTCTCTCTCTCAAACAAAAAATAAATAAATAAATAAAAAATATTAAAAAAATATCTCCTATCATGCTAAAGCATGGACATCTACTATGAATGTCTAAAAACAGCCAGCTGACAAACTATAGTGACCAATTCACTACTTTCAAACAGGTATTTACTAAATTATTATGTGCCAGTCTCAGTATTAAAAACCAGGGAGACAATAATGAATGATGCATACATGGTCTTAATCTTCTTTGAAATTACAACTGATTAGAGATAGAGCAGGGCAGGTGGGGAGAAGAAGAGAGACTTCAGATAGCATGGTCAGAATATCTCTTTGAGAAGATGAAGGGCTAAAAGCAAAAGATTAGGAGTTAGCCAGGTTTCAAGTATTCTAGGGAAAAAGTACAAAGGCCAAAGTTCTGAGGTGGACAACAAAAAAGCAGATCTGATTTAATTTAAAAAGTGGGGGAGGGGATGGGAGGAGGGGGGAGAGGGAGAAGAGAGGAGGAGCAGGGAGGCCAGGCATGACTGGAGCACAGTGATTTGGTTAGGGAGGCCAGACAAGCATATATGGAAAGCCCATTAGCACCACACAACTTCACAACAAAGTGGCTTGTATGAATGAGACCACTGAAACATACTGAATGGTACTCTCGAGCTGTGCATGTCTGGGCTTAAATCTTAAAATAATTACTCTGTTGCTATGCATGTAGACTGAAAATACAAGAGCTAAGAGTCTATTGCAGACAAGATATGGAGAAACTGAAACATTCATATGCTATGATGGGGATCTAAAATGATATTACTGCCATGGAAAACAGCTTCATGGTTCCTCAAAAAGCTAGTTACTATTATTAATAGTAACAGACAAATGTGAATGGTGAGAACAGGAGGTCAAGGAAATAAATCTATAAACTGGGCCTACTGTGCTGACTCCATGTGCCCTCATTCAAAAAGCAATTAACCTGTGGCCTTCCTTTAGTCAACAGAATACACTACCTTCCTTGGCAAACAACCTGTTACCTGTAGGAGAAACGCAGACCCAAAAAATCCCTGATAAGGGCACAAGTTACCCTGAAGGAGGTTTCTGTGACCATTATATACACCAAATTCCAGGACCCAAACAGGATAATTAAAAGCCAAGGCCCTAACCATAAAATGTGTAAGAACAAGTTCCAATGAGACCCCTTTAGCAGAGGCCAAAGTGACCCAGAGTTGCCGTGGATCTTTAGCATGTCAATAGCAAAATTTTCCTTCCCCAGGGAAAGGCAATGGGCAATGGGAACTTGAAAGTCTGATGTAAAACCGCTGTTAGTCAAAGGTCAAGGGGTGGAAACTTCTCTAGGATTCCTTAACAAAACTGGAGGGCAGGAGGGGCACACCATCCCTTTCCTCTCTGAGAGGATCCACTCTCTCCCTTGAGATGTCCCCCTTTTCCCTATCCCTTCTAATAAACCCATGCCTACTACTGTGTTTCATTTGAAATCATTCCAACATTCTCCAACTTTATGACCCAAGCAATTCTCCTGAGTATACACCCAAGAGAGAACTGAAAATATACGCTCACACAAAAATTTGTACATGAATGCTAACAGCTATATTATTACCCTTAAAAAGCACAAAGTAGAAACAACCCAATGTCCATCAAATAAATGATAAGTGAATAAACAAAGGTGGAATATCCATACAATAAAATACTATTGAGCCATAAAAATAGTGAAGTACTGAAGCATACCACAATTTGAATGAACCTGCTAAAGATTATGCTAAGGGAAACAAGCCTAACACAAAAGGCCACTGTAGGGCTCTACTGCCTATAGTCATAAAAAGTATTCTACAATTAGTAATGGTTGCACAACATTGCAAATATACTAAAAAACACTAAGATGCACACTATGCATAGTTAAGTTTATCTCTATTTCAAAAAACTGCACCACCACCACCACAACCACCCCAAATCTGTTGTGATATTCCAGAGTAATGGTGGCTTGCATTGGGACAGTAGCAGTGAGAACAGATGAAAGTGAGTAGAACTGAGAAATACTCTGGAAACACAACTGGTGATTTTTATTTGATAATGAGGTACAAGAGAAGAATCAAGGATGGTGGCCAGAGTCCTGGCTTCAGCAGTCCACTGGCTGGCTGGTTATTACATTCATAGAATAGGGAAAGACAGAGGAGAAAACAGATTGGGAATATTGAAACAGAAAGAAAGTAAATCCACTTAAAATATGGATTCTACCTGTACCCTAAAAAAAAAAAAAAAAAAAAAAAAAGTTTGGGTTCTTTCTTAAAGAGCAGAAAAGAGTACAGAACTGGTGTGTAAGTGTGTGTGTAAATTACCTTTTTAATCCCAGTCCGGCAGTACCCAAACAACCTTGGCCCAGTAATTTGGCCTAAAGACTTCACCTGTCTAGGAATCAAATACTTCTTTAGTATTAAATTTTATTTCATATTTCTTATTCCACTGTGATTTTTTTCCAATCATTTTTTATTTTAAAATGTTTCTCCTTCTCTGGAAACCAATTAAGTACTTGTTTCTGTTTTCGAATTTCTTAACAGTCTGATTTTAATCCACCCAGATTCAAGTTATTGGGTATATGGTGCAAGATGAGGAATTAAAACGATTTTTTTTCCAGTAGCTAACCAAATATCCAGATCCACTGATTAGACAGTCATACTGCTTTCCCAAATAACTTCAGGATTAAACAATACTGTATCTCACATTCACTCTTTTGGCATGTACTGAGTACACAGTTACTCTCCCAGTCACTCTGCCAGATACTAAGAATTAAACTATATGAGATTTTGTTGCACTCAAAACGTTCTAATGAGAGAGGAAAGTAAAAGTAAATAGATAAATTAAATAATGGTGGTTAAGTGCTCTAGCAGACATTCAACGGATGCAAAAAGGACAGTTTGGTAGGATCAAGTGAAACTACCCCCACTCCAATTATGTGACAATTAAAGTCTGAATTGTTGAAAAGGAGCTAAGGGTAGCTAGAGATACTGGGTATAAGCAGACCACTCAAGAGACTCCAGCATGAAAGGTGTGATGCATTTAATGAACTGCAAATAACTCAGTATACCAGGGAACTGCTTGACTAGAAAAAAGAGATTTATCAAACTTGGGGGGGGGGGGGGGCAGAGACAACCATAGCACAGGCCCTAGGAAACTTGAATTATAAGTTTGGATTCTATTCTAAGCATTATGAGAATCAGCCAAAGATTTTAAGCAAAGAAGTAATATGAACATCCAATTTGCATTTAGCACAAGCATTAAAAGAGGAAAAGGTTAAAAGCAGGAAGTTAGGGAACTGTGAAAGTAATCACAAAGAGAAATAGTGATGCCTTGGTCTGGGGTAACAAAAAAATCATAGAAATAAGATGAAATCACTCCAGGAATGCACATGGGGGAAGATTAACTCTGACAAACACTGATATTTAGGGATGAACAAAAAGAAGAAATCACTGTTTGAAATAAGAAGTAACCCATAAGAGTTGTAGTTTCATAGGCTCCAAAGAATTAATTCCAGGATGAAGGGGTTCTCAATTCTATTAAATGCTGATGAATCTCATGCAGTAGTATGGTGACAAGAAGTTTTTTGTGACAGAGTTCTAACAATAAGGAATGGAAGAACACTGAAAAATGTCAGAGTAAGTGGGAAATGAGGAAAGACAGTGACAGAAAATTCTACTGATGGGGGCTGTAGCTCAGTAGCAGAGCACTTGCTTAGTATGTGTGAGGCACTGGGTTCAATACTATCTATGTGAAAGGTTCATGGATGGATGTTCACTGTGTTATCCTTTCAATTTGAAGTGTTGAACATTTAAAACAATTTAATGGGAAAAAAACAAGTCAATAAGGATAACAGAAAAGTACTAGTATAAAGGAGAACTAAAAAATCTATAAGGAGAAGACAGATCGAATGAGGTCCAGAGAAGTCAGGACAGAGTGGGACTGACCTCAGGAGGCTGATCCTTTCATTTTCACCAATCAAAGAACTGAAGCCTAACAAGCTATATTAAGTATAGAGATGCCATTAGCTACATGACTTGTTGTTAAGTCATTTATGCCATTGAGTGAAAAAGGAAATCAGGTAAAGGGAAAGCTCACCACCAATCTTGTGCCTGGGAGCAGACAGGAAAGCAGTGACACTGGAGAAACACATAGAGGAGAGGTACAGCTATCAGCAAAGGAAAATCTTTTATTTGTAGAGTCCTTAAAACCTTGGGAGACCAATTTTAGCATCGAGAAAAGTATTAATAAAATAGGGACCTCTTTTTCCACTAAAAATGTCTTTAAGGTATTAATATTATATGCTACAAGTGTATATAATTACAGTGAAAGAACACTGCCACAAGCACAAATATGTGGGCTTTAAAGATTTCATAAGAGTGATATTACACTAATGCTTCAGATATTTAAATATTTAAGTCATGTTTATATCTTACTGACTTCAGAAACATTCAACATTACTCACCATAGAGGCCTTAAAGGGCACCAGAAATTAACAATAGATAACTATTTCATCAGTCACAGAAAATCAGAATCATTACCAAGAGCAATTTTGTGAAAAGCTTTCGTTTTCATTATCAGTTCAACTAGAATACTCAAAAAGGGAGTTACTGTTGGTGTTTCAATAACATAGTCTTTCCTTTTATTGCCAAGGAAACAAAGAACTGAAAACAGATAACTTAAACAGATGTGAACCAAGACATAGACTGCTAAGTCAGCTCTGGCTACAGTATCAATCTATGCTTATTATCCTTAATGTAGGATGCTCACCCTTAGTTTAATTTTGCTTAAGGAAAAATAAAAACAATCGCTTTTTATGTGTAGGAAGTTAAAAGCTTATGTTATACATTTTTTAAAAAACTAATGAAGGCTACTACTAGAACTTCCATGTAATAAAATTTAAATATAAAGTTAGGATTTTTAAAAATGAAAGCAAATCATTCATAGCATAGAACAAATCTGTCAGGTAAATCAAAAAACTGGTACCCATATATGGTCATGGAAAATATCCTCAAAGTGTTTAAGGAGTTGCATAAAAATAATTTCTGAAGGTTTTTTAAATTTGTTAGAACTGGCATGATTACCATCATCATGCTACTAACATTAGAAACTAAAAACTAAGATGTACATAGGTGTATTTAAGGCTTTTCACATAAAAATATGTAAGATAAACCTATAATAAAATAGTTTTCTAGGTCTTAGTTGCTACGGCAAACTGAGAACAGTTTCTTGGCTATTGCAATTGCTGCTTTGGACAAATGGATATTCTAGACCAGCTCACTTGTAATATGGAAGTTTCATAAGGGCTATACTTGTTTTGTATGTTCAATAAAGGAGGCCTGGGAAAAGGTGAAGACATGAATTATATAAGTAATAGTTTTCATGTAGTAAATTTTAAATTATTATGTATTTTTATACTTACTACATCAAATTGTAACCCTGAATGCTGAAAACGGTTCTTAGCTCAATGCTTTAAATACAGGTGTACCAAGTGTGTTTGTAAAAGCAATAAAGAAATATGACCTCCTAAAACAGACAAACTTAAAGACTATTATGAATATATGTTTGCAGTCAAACAGAACACTCTTTGGTTCCAAATTAGTCTTACAACCGGGCTATATCATTTAGCACTCCATTTACCATTCAGTTTCCATCTCTGCCCTGTCAAAACTTTTTAATGGCCTTTGTGATTAACAGACGCAATGGAAGGTGGCACTTCAAGCGTAGCCCTATTCATACCAGAGAACAGAGAAGACACTATGGTGTCTGGTCCTTCTGGGTTCATTTTCTTCCTTGCATTACATGTGGGAAGAAGGAACTGGTTTTTGTGTTTTGTTTTTAAATAAGCATCTGTCTAGAGTACTGGAAATCTGATAAACTTCTGTTCCAAACCATTGCTGAAGAAAACACAACTCTCCTTTCAGACAACAAATATATACTGATTGATTTCTCACTCTGTCCATTTCACATTATACTACTGCTAGCTGCCTCCTCCTCCTCCTCCAACAAGAACAACAAATCACTAACATCAAGCTTAAACATCATTTCAGAGAAGCTATATAATGTGACTGTTCACATTTCTGCTAAGAGTAAGAGACTGGAGGCTGGGGTGTGGTGGGGTTGCTCAGTGGCAGTAGGCTTTCCTAACATGTGTGAGTTCCTGGGTTCAATCCCCACTACTGCAAAACATTAAAAATTATAAAAGTTCAGGGTGGGGTGGGACAACACATTAATTCCATAAAGAAAACAATCTGTCTAGCATCTTAGCAATTTAATAAATATTACCTTACCAACTCATCAGCAAAAGCAGTCACACTGAAGGAAATCATGTCACTCACCTGTCTGATAGCAAAAGCCAGAAAGTTCAGAAACTCTAAAATTTTAGTTGAATACTCAAATAACTACAAGTTTACTACAGAGAGAGAATGCATCTGAATCTGGGCAAGTGCAATCAATAAAAGAAAGCAGCATTTCCATTCTTCTCCTGAGCATTATTAAATATCTAGACATAACAGCATAAGCCTCTCAGGACAGTGTACAATAAATAAAGCTGAGCCAAATAAAAAAGTCCTCCCCCATGGGTATTTACCATATCAAAGTGCAAATGAAACAGCAAGGAAGGCAGCAGTAGGTTCTTACAACAGGAGCAATTAGTATTCAAACAATGTGTTTGTTTCACTTTATCAGTTTGGCAGTTTTCCTGGGATCTTAATAGGGCCAGACAAATACTACATGCTGTTACATAGATCTTAGTAATCTCAAAATGTTCTTAAGTAATTTTTTTTCTTGCTTCACAGAGAAAGTCTATGTAAAAGAATTTTCTGCAAAATGTGATAAAAAAGGTATTTTCATTAGGCAAAGCCACTTACCTACTAGCAAGGCTGAGCAATTCATGTTTATCTGCTACAGCTGACTTCTTCTCAAGCTCCCACATTAGGACATTGATCAGATGTGAATTTTTAATTACAATCGGCACTTCTTCAAACATGTGCTCAAAGGTGATATTTGCCTTTTTCAATCTGTGAAGCATGTTAAAAATATTTTAGACTGGTGGTCAGAAATAAATGTTAAATTAACTATTTCATACATTTACCTAAATACAAGCCCTCTTCAAGGATTCATTAATAAGAAAGGCAGCAGGAGCAAAAAAAAAAAATATATATATATATATATTTTGTGTGTGTGTGTGTGTGTGTGTGTGTGTACACACATGCAGGCATACACACTGCCTGGTTAACAGTCAAGCATAAATCGAGTGAGCTGAGTATTGACATTGAAAACAATCTAATTTTTTAACTGTAAGCCCAGAAAATAAACTGGCAAGGAAACTATTCTTCAAAATCAAGTATCCTTAAACACTTCGTTGATAGTAAAATATAATGTATATAATTATAATGAACTAACAAAATATGTAAATGTCACAGTAAGTTATGCATCTAAAATATTTAAAATAAATATCTAGAAAAGAAAAATATCCTGTTTTTGTAAAGTTTATTTTTTAAGTGTGAAGAACTAAAAAGATTAACAACTAGTTGAAAAGTCACAGGAGACTCCACAAACAACAGTGTAGGAAACGGCTTCTCAGAGTTAGTTGTAACTCCATGTCCAGAAATTGTTCATGAATTACCTTTTCTTCTTAAAACTGTATACCTTAATTTTTTAGGAGCCAAATAAGAAACTACAGATAAATTGTCCTACATGAAGCCATAATCATTAACTTTGATTTCATTTAAAAAACAAATTCTACAATTAACAGAAATAATAGATTTTAATATCCAATGGCATTAAGTAGGATCACAGAATAGCTCCATTAGTTGACTCACTGCATACCTGTCACTCACAAAACTTCCAATCAGCCACATTTTTTACTGAATCCTTAAAAATGTTCATATCCTTCCCCCCTGTGAAAGGTGAACATAGGAAACATGCAGGTTGCACGTAGTCTAATGCAGAGCTTACAGTCTGACAGCCGCTGACCACTCTTTCATCTCCCTTCTATCTTTTACTTCTTCAAATACGATAGCTAATTAATTCCCATTCTAACTGAATTCACCTATGGTGAGAACAACAGATGAGACACTCCATAAAGATTAATCTAAACGTGGTAAGGGTGTCTCTCAGCACGCAGAAATCTACAATACGCATGGCAAAGTATTACTGCAGCACAACCAAGCCTTCAATAGATGTGGCAAATTGACGGTTTAAAAGAAAAATACTCAGCCCTTTACCATATGCCTCTTGGGCCCCCAAACACTTACGCTTCAGGGGAAAAATCCTTCTCTTTACAAACTTCCATTAGTTTAGGAGTCAATCTGTATGCCTTTAAAGAGAGAGAGCCTTGGGCAGTTTTTATAGGATCTCAAAAAAAAGAGAGAGAGAGAAAATAATTACTAAGGATTCTAATGACATCGGTTCTAGGCACATTCTATTACTTATCACACTGTCTTTGGAAAAATGAAGATCAAAATAAATAATGGCAACATAACCTGAAGCACATTCGAACCATTTCTAGCAAACAGTAAGCGAAGATGCAGTGGTTGTTCTATCCTACTTAAAATCAGTAGAGTAACTTCCTCCCTTAAATAAACACAGAAGATTCCAAATAATAAGATATTTTGAAATCCCTCATCTAGAACCAGTAATCTTGCTGAAAATGAAACATATCTTATTCTATACATCTTGTATTAACTGGGGAAAATACTAATAAGTATTAAACAACAACAACAACAAAAAAAATCACTGTATGCACTACTATACTTCCTTAGTCCACGAAAATGAATAGCCCTGCAAACAAAATTTATACAACCTAATAATCAGTGTTCACATTTTTAAATTAAAAGATAGTTAAAAACAAAACCACTACATCAAAGTGCTATCACAAAAGTGTCCTTTTCTAGTTTTAGAAAACGAAGTTTTGTCAAAACTAACTGCTTAAACACTCCATGAGTAAGGGAGCTTAGCACTTGCTGCATGATAATGGCTCTGGCATGCCAATATTCAACTAAAACCTGTGTTAACATTCATGTTGTCTGAAACTTAACACAGTGAAACTTTTAGCAATAGGTGATAAAATGAAAACCAAAATAGATTGAAACAAGTGGAAAATTCATCAAGGTCTGATGATGCAATGTTTCCAGCCAATATAAGTACACTTTAACAACTTGTTCTTTACTGTAATCCAATTGTTAACATACTGAAACAATTTTGGGGCAGCTCATAAGATTGATCGTATTCATTAGTATTTTTTCTGACAGATACTCAGGACGTTACATTTACTTCTCAGCTGGAAACTATATGCAAGTCTGCCAGATATGGCAAACTGTGAGTGTTTGGGGAGGGGGAAGGCTATAAAGCTGTTAAATTGCCTACAGTTCTGATACAGCACAGAACATCTGGTCTGGAGAGCTTGAGGAAACACCATTAAATAGGCCGAAAAGAAAAAAATCTTTGTGCTAAGAAACAGTCCAGGTTTTGTACGCTGCTGTCAGAGGTATAAAAAAAAAACTTGGCACACTGTGTTATGATTGGTCAGTCACGTACAGAGCCAGACACTCCAGCAATCGGGGTTTGTTAGACATCTGGTCTAGTTCCACCAGCCCCTTCAATGAGGGAGGGGAGATGGAGGAATAAAAATGAAGCAGCTACTCCAGCATTCCAAAATGTACACATCAGGGCTCTGATAGCAAGAAAAATAAACAGAAAGAAGGAAACCCTGTCTAGACTTAGCTGCTGCTGAGGCTGCTGCAGAAACAGAGTTGGTATTTACTTGAGAAAGCCTGCCAGGCTGCTCTTAGAAGCATAAAGACAGAAAGTAAAAATAGGAGTAATAATATTAAGGGAAGAAAAGAATAATAAAGGAAACTCCGACTAACCATAAATAAGAACAACAGATTCTTCAATGGCATGTTGGTAACTGAACTGAGAATCCAAAAGCGCCCGGGTGACAAACGAGCCATAGTACGTAGACTGGTACCAGCCCACATGGAGATGATCAATGTTTACATGGCGAAGGCTCCGCATCATTTCCATCTGATACTGGACTAGATGATGAAAAGGAGGGGAATAAAAGAAAAACTTTATGATACCACCAATATTAAAAATAAGCCTAATGGAAACAAATTTCTACATTTATTAGTCATAAGGAACAGGTTTCCAGGGGAAAAGTTATTCGGTTCACACATAAAGAGAACAAAATTAAGCTTTCAAATCATTGGGACTTTCCTTTTTCACTAATGCAAACCAATTTGAAGAAAAAATAGTATTAAAAATACAATATTAATGTCTTGTTCTAAACAAAGAATTACTAAATGTGTTTTACATGATCTTTTTGAAAAACTGAAAACAGTAAAATGTTTAAGGAAAACAATATATAATTACTAGACTGGCTACTTGTAAGAAGTCTCATCTGGACCAATAGATGAGAATAGTTATCAATAGTTGTCTCTTCTTCAACACACCTTTTGGAACTGTGAACTTAAACCAACAAGAAAACTAAGGAGAAATAATCAACCACCACTTATATATAAACAGCATATAGACTATAGCCGATTTAAAACTAAGAATTCATTTTTGCCTTCATCTGGTGCCCCCTGCTGCATACACTAAATTTAAAAAAGATTTTTTTTTTTTGCCTGTCTTCTTTTGTGTTAGTGACACTACGTTTTCATTAGGATAGTTATATTTTAATTATCACATACAAAACAAAAATATTTAACGATTTTTACTTTCATCAAATCAATGACTATAATGTATATTGTTAAAGTACAAGCTGAACGTGTAACAAATGACATTAAAAAAGCATTACAGCCCAAAAATGCATAACAAATACATAATGAAGAAAAAAGTTTTACAGTCAATATTTAAGCTACTTCAATCATAATGACTGCATGGCCATGTGAAGTAACCATATTTGCTTAATTCTAAACCTAAGCAGCTCACTTTTAAAACTCTTAATCGGGTTTTGGTAAAACTAAAGTTTTATGCCTGGTTCCTTTAGTCAGAGCACTATGACTTTACAAAGCAAACAATAAAAGTACCTTCCTGAGATGCATGATCTTATTTTGCAACACTCACTAGTGGGCCGAGAAATTATAAATCTGTTTATTCCATGATTATATCTCTCTTATTTATAAAAAATGGCAGTCAAGTAATCAACTATTTCAAAATTATGTGTTTTTCATTTTTCTTTTTGAAAAATAGGACAAAATTTTAAGCCTATGGCAAAATTGCAACAGAGCTGGAAGGTGTACTACTGTAAAGATGTACACTAGGCAACTGTTTTGAAACAAGCAACTCTGTTTTGAAAGCAAGTCCATTCATTCATAAAAAGGGAAAAGGTATTAAGATAAAGGTAGTTTGCCCCCATTATTTCTCAAGTCGTTCATTTAGGTGAGAGGTGATACTTATACACAAGACATGTTTACATACCAGTGTTTCTGCATATTTATAATTAACACATTGGAAAACAAAGCCTTAAAGCTTATGCTATATTTTAAACCATGATTAAAAACTACAGCCCTACAAATCTAGTTTATAGACAGTATGACAGCCTGAAGCAGTATAAAACTGATGATGATTTACATTCATTCTTTTATCTTATTATTTTATTTCTCTAGCATATAACAGAACTGCTTCTTCCTTCAGCTAGTTTAACAGATTTGTATTAACCACACAAATTGGGACTGAGTTAGAATCATTGCTACGGTCTCCTTCTGTTTTAAAATGTCTAGATTCTCTTAAAGTAAAAATTACACATTTGGCTAACAAATTTTGTCAAATTTAACTTACAAATGTAAAGTCCCAATATTATAAGTAAAACAGAAGCAGAAACTAAATGCTATTTATCTCAAAGGGAAAGAGGTCAGGAAATGAGGAGAGATTACCAAACAACTAACAGTACAAATACAATTTTATAGGACAATTTAATTTAAAAAAATCACTACTTGCAACATGTGTTGGTGTGCAACTTGGCTAATATATGCAGAGGGTAGTCTATCAACTTGTAATAGTAGGAAAAAAAGATCTGGAATCTAAAAGTGAAGGAAGGTTCTTGTGCCAGTTTTGACATCCCCTCTGTAGGTATCCTGCTGTCCAATTGATGATTCTCTGATGTTTAGTTTTACCATAGCCAAGGAGAACTTGACAACCCATCCCAGCAAAATGCTGGGATTCCACATTATTTCAGCATTTGGATATGCTAACTATAAACAAGAATTTGTCTACTAGGTAAAACAGGGCCTCTAACATGCCTTATGATTTCAATCAAGATACATTTCTCTGAAAAAAATATTCTGCAATCTTGTTAAGACTTCCTTCAAATAACCTAAATATAACACATTTTATAAGCACATTTCCAGAATACATGAGGGAAAAACAAACCGGGGGGGGAGAGACCTTCCAAGATCTTTCTAGTTATTTCTTCAAATTCTTTCTTATCCAGTGTCTTACCTAATTTTACACACCCTCCAATAAGAACAAGAATGAAAATGAGTATTCTCTAAACCAAGGAGTCAGGAATATGAGGCCTGTATCCCCACGGCTGCTCAAGAAATAAATAAATACAGCTCCAATGTATTTATTTCTGGGAGTTCAGAAATTAGCTTCAGTTCCTGGGAAGAAAGAGGGAAGCATGTACATTTTCTTCTTCTATAGCTTAGAATATGACATGCCAGATTTTAGAAGTTTTTAAACATAATTATTTGTAAGTCATAAGGGTTTTCATATCTTAAATGAACAACAAAATTAAAGAGTTAAGAGCAATGACAGGTTAAGTTAATAAAACTGCTTTTACTCTCCAATGTACTGGAATATCATTATTTTACAACAAAACCTATATTGGGCCTATTCTAGGAGAAGTTTTAGGACATTCTCTATAATGATTTGAACTTTACTATTTTGATAATAAAAATCAACAGATAAGGCAAAATCAGGAAAAATAGTGGCTCTACTAAAAGCTCTGTGTGGAGGACCTAAAAGTCAATCTTAAAAAGGTAGGGAAGGGCTAGGTGTGGTGGCACAAACATGAACCCAACTCAGGAAGCTGAAGCAAGTGGACTACAAGTTCAAGGCCAGCCTCCACAATGCAGTGAGACTGGATCAAAAAAAAATTAAAAGGCTGGGGAGTATGGCTTAGTGGTAGAGGGCTCCTGGTTTTAATTACCAACCCTGCCCCAAAAGGTGAGGACTGGGGTACTGAAGCACCAAAATGAGGCTGGAATGCACTAATGCCCAGTGAGAAACATGCACTATTTGAAAGAAGGTACTTTGATTTTTTTTTTTTAAGTGGTATTGTTTACACTCTACATAAGCTAAGGAACAAGAGGCAAAAAAACAACAACAACAACAAAAAAAAAAAAAAAAAAAACAACTCACAAACAGCCAGGTGAACTGCTGTATCTCTACAGACTTTGAGGTCTGTGGCTATGTTCTAATGTTAATGCAGATGTGGGGCTCTCATCTCCCTTCACTCAGTTTTTCTTCCTCCTCCCACCCAAATTTTCAGAAAGTACAAAACCAGCTCTTGGAAAACTTTCTTGGTAAAACTAAGTAGTAGTAAGAAATAAGCAGCTGAGTGTCCACTAAACTATACCAAAACTGTGCTCCCAGTAGCCACCACTAATCAACTAAGCTGACCTGCCACACTGACACCTATTTACCCCTCTGGCCTATAGAAGAAATAAAGAAAAAATCATGAATTGGTGACATGCCAATCAGTTTTACACAGTAAATGGAAATGGTCATTCCAGATTTCAATCTCCAAAACCTCTTTGCTTTTGTGGTCTCTTGGAAGTTACATGGTAGTGTAGAGCAGGTAAGGCAATCAGGAGACACAATTTAGACACTTGGGCAAATGAAGGAGCCTATGATTCCTGCAAGTGTCTGTGATGATGATACCATGTCACAGCCCACAGACTCTGGTAAATGTGAGGGAATGTTATCTGCTTTCTCATATCTAGTCAGTATTTACTTTTCTGGCTGGAGTTTAAAGGAGGTTATAAAAGACAGAGATAAGGTTTATCTTATCCAGGGAATGGTTCACACCTCAAAGAAGAGAATCACACCAAAGAAACAAAAAGGAAAAAAAGAAAAAAAGGGGGACTCCTTAATATAAAGAGCCAGAATTCCTTACTGCTGGATACACACAGGTTAATGAAGAAACAACCATTTATTGGCAACTTTGCAAAAGTTGGTCCAGGATTAGATGGGCTTCCACTTTTGTTCTAAAGTTCTCATATTTAACAGAAGCCAAAGTGACAATTCAGCCAATGACATTCATTTCTTGAGTTAATCATTAAATATCCTGGGGAATTTCCCAAAGACAAATGGCAAGGGGGAAATCCTTTTGGAGAGGGGACTATTTTTAAATTTATAATAATGTTCAACAGAAAGGCTTACCATCTTGTAATGAAAAGTTAGGAAAGAACCTTTTAAACATTTTTAGTTTAAAAAGCAAACGCCCTACCAACTTAGAAGAAGCAGCAAGTAGCAAATGAATTATAAAGACAAATTGGCAGTTACTACCAAGCCAGCTCAAATTACTGATACAAAAGCTACACTTAGATGCAATTAAGGTGACACTACAAAATTTGGAAGGATTATAAAAATGAGCTAAAGTTTTATAAATCTTTTCAACCTCTACAATTGTTTTAATAGGCTAAGCCTCTCCCTAGCAAAGGAGAGACTGGTTTAAAACAGTAAATAACTGTCTGAAGTCTGGCACCAATATATTCATATTCACTTTTTCCAGTATCTTCTTTGCAAAATGGTCAAATTTAAAGTGCCTAGAGCTAAAACTGTCTTAACTGAGGCAGACTGCCCAATAACTATTCTTTTCAAAAACCCACCACATTTGTTGGGCTTTCTCTTGTTTTATCTTCAAATATGCAAACACTGAAAAATAATATGTTTTCTTACACTTAAATGCTGTTTCTGGAGCTACAGTGGCAATCAACCAAACTAGAGTATGAGTCTGCAATGCTCCTGAATATCACTGGGAATGACAAATGAATTTGAAATTTTTCAGTTCAGAATAACGAGTTTT